ACACTATCCCGTCTACCAGATGAAAGTACCTGAAATGAACTGTAAAGAGGGCAGGAAGGATCTATCATAACAGGTTTGCCAACTCTGTTTAGTGTTTCTTTAAATTCAGAAACGAAATGCATTTTTCTGCTCAAGTTAAACTTGATGCATGTCAGCTCAAACTATTCAAATTAATGTCGTCCTTTGAAATACGACTCTGATCGCTTTCCCACAATCAAAGTCAAAGTCCAGGCTGTTCTCAGATCAGCTGCTGTGAATTAATTCCACCAGCACATGACAGGAGTGTGTTGCTTTGGATCGTCTGTTGGGTGTTTGCGTTTCCTTCTGTGCTTGTAGGTTAGCCATGACGGGAGTCCAGACACATGCGATCTACCCTGAACATGCTGCCTGCGAGAGAGAGAGAGAGAGAGAGAGAGAGAGGGAGAGGGAGAGGTCTTGGCTTTGGAGGATTTGGACCTCTCAGCCTAGAAACAGCCGGCCCAGTTTGGACTCAGACCTGGTGTTAATGTTCTTTTTTCCTCCAATACAAATCTGTTGTGTAGCAACCCCCAGATTCTCCTTTACCCACAAACCGCATGTGTTTTTAAATGCACTGCAACACACACACACACACACACAGAGACAGACAGAGAGAGAGAGAGACTTGTTGCTTATTCAGGTATTCATGCACGGCTACACTAGATCAAATCAGTCCTTCCTCCCAAACAAAAGATGTTATAAAAGTCTACTTACTACTTTAAACGTGCATTTCATATTTTGAGGGTTTTTCATATGTTGCTGGACCCCATTGACTTTCATTGTATGGACAAAAAAGACATTTAAAAATATCTTCTTTCATTTCACACAGATAAAAGAAAGTCATGCAGGTTTAAAACGACATGATGGTGAGTAAATTATGACAGAATTTACATTTTTGGGTGAACTGTCCCATTTAAGCATGCTTTAGTCTTATTGTGATTGATTCATTGGTGCACCTTATTCTAAAGAAAATAAACATTTTTCTTCACAGTTTTTAATTTAAATGCAACACCTCTGAGTCTGAAGCAATATTCAAATCAAACAATGTAGAGCTGTTTAATTTCAGTATGGAAAGTGGTTTAGTTTAGTTTCAGTATGAATGGAAGTTAAATGTGTTTGTGAACCATGCAATTCATGGAAGATAAATGTGTAAACATGTAATTTATATACTGATGAAAAATTTAAGACAGTTAAAGAAAAGAAAAGTATTAGGCAAGAAGATGAATGAAAGACCTTTCTATGTTACACAAAGAACTCGTTAGTCTGTAGTTTCGTTAAACCTTCTGATGCTATAAGAATCCAGAAACCAAAACACCAGAACTTTATTAATGACTATATATAGATTTTGGGCTATTTGTGTTCTTTCAGACTAGTTGAAAGAAAACATCCAAAAAACACATTTAATATCTATTTGCGCCTGTAGATTTCTATTATTTCTTTAAAGAGTTTGTTACTCCACGTCAGCAGTACTTACATATACCAAAATTTACAGTTTTATTCTTATCAATATTCTGAAGGTTTTTATTGTGGGGTTTGTTCATATTTCATTCACTGGTTTTATTATTGCACTTTATGTATTTGCGTCTATGGATTTCAATTGCAATATGTATCTTTAATCATGTTTATGGTGTTAATTACCACGACAACACGTCCGAGTTGAACGTGCTTTTTGTGTATCCTGCTTGAAGGAGATAAAAATATTATGCATCTGAAGCTGTAATTAAATATTGAGAAACCGTGTGTATATGTTTATAATTGTTTTAAATGCCGCTTACTCATTTATGAGAAGGAACCAAGTAGATGACACATACGCAGTTACTTTTTTGGTTGATATAATCCTTAGGTGTGTAAATGTATAAT